GGGCGGTATTTCTCTACTTGTCATTGAGTTCCTTAGCTAGTCTACATCATCTTCAGACGGTTTTATTGTTTTGTTTAATGGATGGATATCTTCTCATAATCTTTCTTATGCATATTATAGGTCCTAGTTTTGGGATCAACTGTGGGGGTCCAAAATTTGAGAGTTCCTCTCAGGAGTATGAAAGGGAAATTGAGATTGATGGTATGGCTTCATACTATGTTAGTGACTCAGAAACTTGGGCTGTTAGTGATGTTGGATACTTTCCTGAGATCAACAAAAACTCTAGTCAATATAACAGATACAATGACACGGAACATCCAATTGCAAATACAAATGATTCAGACCTTTTTCAGACACAAGAATTATCTACTTCGTCGTTGAGATTTTATGGTCTAGAGCTTAAAAATGGGAACTACACTGTGAAGCTTCACTTTGCAGAACATGCTTTCGCAGATTCATCTACATGGAGCAGCCTTGGGAGGCGTGTCTTTGATATATATATTCAGGTTATCTATTTTGTTTTTGACGATTTAAGTTTATTTTAGATGGATGTTATGAGGTGTCTCCTACTGGCTTTAGCAATAGAACTAGAGGTACATACTAATAATACGCTTTAGCAATAGAACTTCTATTTTGGAATTCATGGTTCTATAATTTATAAGTTCATGTATATGTATCATGAATCTAGTTTAACTTCTATCATCTATAACTCCTTTAGAATCTGATTGTCGTTTGCTTTGATCTATTATTCCATCTTGTTTGAGTTTAAGATCATTGTTCTCAGGGGAACCGGGTTTTCAAAGATTTTAATATTCAAAACGAGGCAGGTGGGTCTTTTCGTGCTGTTACAAAGATATTTAAGGCACAAGTTTCAGCAAACTACATGGAAATTCATCTTTTTTGGGCTGGGAAAGGTACTTGCTGCATACCTGACGAAGGTACTTATGGACCTTCTATTTCAGCAATCAGTGCAAGTCTAGGTAAGGAGTAATGGGACCATTCATATCTCTATTATTTTTGAAAAGCTTGTTATGACGTACTTCTCAATTAAATGGAGAGCTTTTTGCAGATTCTGAACCTGTAAGTAATGTGAAGAATGGAACCAGTGAAATAAAGGGGACTGGTAGTCACAAGAATGAAGCCAGTCTAATAGTGGGGATTGTTGTTGGTGTAGGATTTGTTTGCTTTCTAGTTGTCACAATTTTCATTCTTTTTCAAAGAAGGAAAGGACGCTCCTTGGAAGATGAAGGTGATTAAAGCTTACTACATCAAATTAGTTCTTTGCCTTTGAGTCACTTTTCTAGAAGCACTTTTGAAAAAAGGGTTTGTTTGTAATACCTTCTAATCTAAGCACTTTTAAAAAAGTATGTTCAATGAAAATATTTTTATTATTACATTTTCTAAAAAGTGCTTTATATAACAAATATGTTTAGTTGCACAATCAATAACCTATATTCTTTACCTGCAGAGCTCTTTGGAATTGATGAAAGACCGCACACTTTTAGTTATTCTGAACTCAGGAATGCTACAGAGGATTTTAGTTCATCCAACAAACTCGGAGAAGGAGGTTTTGGACCGGTTACCAAGGTATATTTTGTTGAGGATTGTTGTGAGGGAGTTCTACATTGGCTAATTTAGGGAATGATCATGGGTTTATAAGTAAGGAATACATCTCTATTGGCATGAGGCCTTTTGGGGAAGCCCAAAGCAAAGTCATAAGAGCTTATGCTCAAAGTGGACAATATCATACCATTGTGGAGAGTCGTGATTCCTAAAATATTTCATTTCTTAAAAAGGTCCTTCGGACTATGCTCGTGTCTTTTCATGGTTTGTGTTGTTTTCTTCTTTCTTTTAGGGAATTCTAAATGATGGAAGAGTAATCGCTGTAAAGCAACTTTCAATAAAATCTGACCAAGGAAGAAACCAGTTTTTGGCTGAGATTTCTACAATATCTGCCGTGCAACATCGCAACCTTGTGAAGTTGTATGGTTGTTGCATTGAGGGTCAAAAACGTCTCCTTGTTTATGAGTACCTGGAGAAAAAGAGTCTCGACCAAGCATTATTTGGTAAACTAACAACCTAATTGTGTTTTTCTTTCTTTTTAATTTAATTTGCTATACAAAAGTGGTAATGTTTGCTGGCTTTTGTGAGATAGGAAAACGAACTTTCGTTCTTGATTGGCCAAAACGATTTGCTATATGCATGGGTGTCGCGAGAGGCCTAACATATCTTCATGAGGAATCGAGACTTCGAATTGTTCATAGAGATATTAAAGCCAGTAACATTCTACTTGATGCTGATCTCAACCCCAAAATTTCAGATTTTGGGTTAGCGAAGCTTTATGATGACAAAAAGACTCATATGAGCACCCTTGTTGCTGGAACAATGTAATATTTCATTGAGATAAGTTCCCCACCCCATGAAAGTTATTACTTTAAAATAGTTGTACTAAAGTAGAGCATTAATGTTTACTAATGCAGTGGATATCTTGCACCTGAGTATGCCATGCGTGGGCATCTAACTGAGAAGGCTGATGTCTTTAGTTTTGGTGTTGTGGCTCTTGAAATTGTTAGCGGTAGGCCAAATTCGGCCCCAGGCTTGGAGGAGGACAGAGTTTTTCTACTTGAATGGGTAAGAATGCTATATCTTTTTCCCTTCTTTCCATCAGAAGCTTTCATGAAAATAAAGGTGCACAACCCTCTTACGAAAACACTGTTTGAAAAAGTTTATATCTTATTAAAAAAGACTATAGCCCAACTTTTCTTATTAGTAATGGTTTAATGGGAATACACAAATATTCCTTATATCAAGATGTAATAGATATAATTTATTCTCGGGTCGGATACTAACTCATAAAACAGTAAGGTGTGAAATCCATTTGCGAGGACATTTGTCATTGAAGCTTTGAGAGAACATAACTCATGCATATGCCCCTTGGAGCACTTTCACGAGTGTTGCTTTCCTCTCTCATCCTCACTCCTCTTGGAGCACTTCCACTTGGTTCAATTGTGCACACTCCTCTTAGAGCACTTCTACGAATATTGGTTGTCTCTCTCGTGCTCACTTCTCTTGGAGTACTTTCACGAGCGTTGTTTGCCCCTCTAGTACTCATTGAAAGAGAATCGATTGATGTTTGGAAGAAATTCATCGTTAGCAATGGTGACTTCTTGAAGCAATTTTGAGTTTCTCGTCGTTCTTCGCAGCTAGAAGAACATGTCTAGAGTTTATCTTATTTTTCTTGTTATCACGCATTACATTGGTGGCCAATTTCAAAACCATAGAAGCAAGGTATTTGGGGACGACAACTAGGTAGATCAAGCATCTACGCTAGTGCGCTTTTCGTAGCGGCCTTTCTTCAGGTTCCGTCTAGTTCTTCCATCTAGACATTGGAGTGCAGCTTTGAAGGAGTTGGAGATCATAGTTTTATCGCCTCTTTTTCTTCCTCCGGCGCTCTTGGTTCCTCCATTATTGAAAATTCAAATCTGAATCTTGAAATTTGATGCCTACTTGAAATATGGTATATTAGATTATGGGCCTTTATTGCTTGTTGAACGGAAAGAGCAATGAAATAGGAAAAAGTTGTGCTTCAAGTGAATAAAAATAGTGGGTAAGGCCTTTCTTGCATGTTGTTGAAGAATCAAAATGGAAATCGTGGGCCTAAAATTCTGCAATACAAGGAAAAAGCTTTCCATGAAGATCCTTCCACGGGTTGAACCTAAATTGGAAGAAGTGAGCCTTGCTGGGCTATTTGGAAGCCAGGATGGTGCATCATCCATCACACATCATTGAAGAGAAGACGAGACATGAGCAAGACAGGGACAACGAGTAGAGAAGAGTGCCAAAGATAGGCTTGTTGAAGGGCCAGGTAGGGCCTCGGGCTTTAACCTTGAAAGTTAGGGTTCCGGAGGGAATTTGGGCATGCGGCTCTGGAGTCAAAGTCCGTCCGTATGAAATATGAATGCTTGCCAAATTTGGTGCCAATCAGACACTGGACAGACGTTTCACATCGTATGTCCGTTTGCCAAAATCATGTCTACACCCGCCCGACTGAAAGTGCCTTAAAACGTTTCACATCGTATGTCCGTTTGCCAAAATCATGTCTACACCCGCCCGACTGAAAGTGCCTTAAAACTATAAGGAGATGCTAGGTGTTTGCCAAAATCATGTCTACACCCGCCCGACTGAAAGTGCCTTAAAACTATAAGGAGATGCTAGGTCCGTCCGTATGAAATATGAATGCTTGCCAAATTTGGTGCCAATCAGACACTGGACAGACGTTTCACATCGTATGTCCGTTTGCCAAAATCATGTCTACACCCGCCCGACTGAAAGTGCCTTAAAACGTTTCACATCGTATGTCCGTTTGCCAAAATCATGTCTACACCCGCCCGACTGAAAGTGCCTTAAAACTATAAGGAGATGCTAGGTGTTTGCCAAAATCATGTCTACACCCGCCCGACTGAAAGTGCCTTAAAACTATAAGGAGATGCTAGGTGTTTCTTCTCCACCACTCCTAGGTCCTGTAACCTAAGAGAGCTACCTTGTGACACATACGTGTCTCACAGTGAGGGTGAGCGTTGCTAGACGAGTGTCTAGGGCGATTTCCTTCAAATGGATTTTTCAAGGATAGTACTGGAAGACACAGGTGTGTCGGTATTTGCGCCCCAACCCATGTGTTGGAGGTTGGATCATACATTCGCTATTCGGTATGGAGTCCGTAAACGACATGGTATGGACATGGGAGGGTCCAATGTCTCGATAGAACCTAGATAGATGGATGTTCAGGATGTTCCGATATTATGAATGACACATGGGCCCATTCTCGATGGTATGACCAAGTGAGTCGTGATGGCTGATGACACCCTATGATTTGGAATGACGTCAAGACATGTGGGTCATGTTAAATTGAGAATCGAGATGACATTGAGACGCAAGGTCCTGAGTAGAAGCAAAGTCGAGTCAAATGACTTGTCCTAGTGTAGAGGCATGTCGGTTGGGTTGTAGATTAATGTACTCGAACAAACTTGGATTCCGCACAAGTTGTGTTTGGTGGGCGAAGACAAACCTTACCTAAGGTCTAACAAAGCCACAAAGTCGGGCGAAAGATGAAATGGGGCTTGGGTTCCCCTCAAAGCTAGTTGTGAGCATGTCAAGATCATGACGCCGCGCAGTTGAAAATGTACAACCATGACATCTGACACTTTCCTTGAAAAACTCACTTTAAAGGAAGATGTCCAAGGCATTTGTCTTACAATGCTCGCACACATTGTGCACATGCATGTGACTCAGAGTAGCTCACTTAGGCCACAGGGATCAAGGGTGGTGGAGAGCTGACACTATGCCTTCCCCGGTATTACATTTTGAGCATATTTGCTCTAGTAGGTGTAGATATGATTTTGGTGAACGGTCATATGACCTTGTGGAGCATCCATCGGGTGTCCAATAGACACCAAATTTGGCGAGCATTCATAGTTCATAGAGACAAACTTAACTCTAAAGACGTATGACAAAACTCATATTAGAACCTTAACTTTCGAGGTTAAGACCTGGAGACCTACCTGACTCTTCTTCGAGCCTGTTTTTACCTTTTGCCTTTGTTTATGTTTCGACTTAGCTTCAATGCACACTTTCTATGATGTGTTAGATGATGCATCATCCTCCTTGGTCGCATTACGACACTTGTCTATCTTGGCCCTCACATGGCTTGATGGGCGTCTGTAATAGCCCAAGCTAATGTAAAAATGGGTGATGTTACTGCTTTCACGTTTCTTTGAAATGACTATTAGTCCGACATAAATTGTCTAATCGTAACAAAAAGAGACATTGTTTATGTTTAGTTGCCTTGTACTTTTGGCATTTAAACCTAACATATATGGAGTTGGATTTACTAAATTCAGTCTGTTTATATTTTTGCATGGATTTTCTTTTCTCAGGCTTTGCGCCTCCGTGAAAATCAGTTCCGAACATTTTGAGCTTTAAAGAAAACATGTTTGTAGGATGTTGCAAATGAAGCCTGTCTTTAGTTCTTATATAAGCTATATATATACATGAACTAGTAATTAATTATGTACGTATTTTGTTTTTTAAGATGGGATTAGTAGCGATTACATATATATATATATATATATATATATGAAGAGTGGCTTTATTTATTCTCAAATATTATTTGCTTATTTCTTTGTAGGCTTGGTATCTGTATGAAAACGATCGTGAAATTGAGTTGGTAGATTCTGATTTGTCCACATTCAATGAGGATGAAGTTAAGCGGGTGATCAGAGTAGGTCTTATGTGCACTCAAACGTCCTCAGGTCGTCGGCCATCGATGTCACGAGTGGTGGCAATGCTGTGTGGAGATATTGAAGTGGCAAGTGTTGTGCGCCGAAAGCGGAACAAATGTACTCACAACACCAAAGTTACTCAAGACATACAATATGACACTCAAAACTTAATGATTTCAACAGCAGAAAGAATGGCATTATATAGCCTTCTGCTAAACCTAAAGATAAACTAACAAGCCAAAAAAAGACCTTGAGAATAGGTCTTGGTCCTAGAGAATAGGACTTATGACAGTGTTCAACAGCAAGTGTACCTTCAAAGCCTGGATACTTAACTGACTGGACTTTTGATGATATAGGCACATTTACGAATGATACTACAACAACCACAGCCTCCGACACTACCCATCAGGGCAGTTCGAGTATTGGCATCCGTGCTAATAATTGAAGGCTTAATTAAGGCCTCTCATCTATTTATTGGCCTCTATTAGATTTGAGGACAACACATTGTAAGGCTCTTTAGGGCCTTTTGTATAGTTATATGGTGTATAATGTAAGAAGCCATTCTGTGGTTGTCAATTCTGCGGCTGACAATTTGTAAAGAAAAGCTATTCAAGTCAGCGAAGAGAGACAAATCAAGTACAATAATAGTGATTTGTAGTTTCCTCGTATGGTAGGCTACTTTGTTTTGAATATTTCTAGTATGGCAGGGTTTTTTTATTTAGTTGAGCAGCAAGAACCCAACTCTCCCTAATCGTACAAGAGTTTCGAAAACAAAACTGCATTTTTGGAAAATTGTTGAGATTTTCGATCGAAAATCTCCTAATCTCAATCTTTCACATGATTCCTCCAACGTAACATTTTCCCTTAACTTATTTGTGCATCTGAGCCCTACATTGAGTGGGTTCGTTGTTGGAAGTTTATCATTATTGATAACGGTTTGGCTTTTTTACAAATCATATGAATTATGTGATGTCTGCACATCTCTGAGTTTAGTTTAATGGCTATTTTAGCTTATTAGGTCAATTTATTAGGTCAATTCAGGGGTGTATGACGTAGGTAAGAAGAATTAAGTACTAGTCGAGGCATTTTAGCCTTAGCAAGGGTACACATGGTTTTGGTGAATAGTCATACACCCTTGAATTGACATAACAAAACGATAAAAACCTATCTACCATGAAAATAAGTAAAAGAGGACAAGCATAATTGATATGAATCCAACAACTGATCACTTTCATGTACCAGAACGAGCAATTACAAGAAGCAATACAAAGAAGATTCAAATATCAAATCAAGAAAATAATGGAGTGGCTGACCTTGGAAAGTGATTAGAAGACTTGTCATCGGTAGTTGAACTACCAATTAAACAATTTATGAATGTCTTGTTTTCTTCCATTTGTATTTAATAGTATTTGTAGTTGGTGGTTTGAACTTTATTATGTTAGGGTTATCTTTTGAGGTTATTTAAAGGCATGTAATATTCATGTTTGGGATAAATGGTTAAATACAAACAAAACCTTTGTGTTTTCTTGATACCTTTTTGGTGTTCTTTTTCAAACCTTGCTTTAGGTTTGATGTTTAAACCGATTCATTGAATTAGTTTTGATCAAGCTAATTTTAGAGTGAGTCGTCTTGGAATCTAAAAGTGACCATCATAGATTCCAAGTTCGATCTAAAAGTCATTCATCTTCTGACCAACTCTGAGTTGGAATCAATTCGTTAAGTTAGCTTTCTTTGTGAACGTTTGCAAGCATTCTAGAAGAACCTCTAGCTTTGCAAAATCTAGCATTGTTGGTGCTTATCAATAATCGTGACATCCTCCCCGGTTCTTCACGAGCTCAGTGATGTAGAATGAGGCTAACTTCAGGTCTCTTGACATGTTTTCAGTTGATCTTAGCATTATTGAGTTTTATCAATCTACTAAGATCTATTGAAAATCTCTTTTCAGTTCGTCGACTCTTCATGTCTTCTCAGTTAGAGTTTATACGAGGATTTTAAAATATCAAATTAGAACCATGTAAAAGTTTGAAATAAGTTAAGAAATTGAAAAGGAAATGTTAAAGAAAAATGGGTAAATAGTCATTTTTTCTTTTTATTTTTCAGATTTTGAAAATCCTTGATTTCGATTCCAAGAAGGTGAGGAAAATGACAAAAACATAATAATAAAAATAATAATAATAATAATAATAATAATAATAAAATGTTTAGAAAAATCCTTAAAATAATAAAAATCCCTTGAACTTTGAGTTAATTACAAAAATGTGATCGCCTAAATCTAGAAAGTTGGACGGCTGGAGTAGTACTTCATAAAATCTTTGATATATTCACATTGATCGAATGGCTACCACCCAAAATGAAGGTCATTGAGCCCATGATGAGAGAAGATATTTCCATTTAGATGTTTCAATATAAATCTAAGGGTTCTTCTATAAATTATGGTGTGAACATTGGTTTGGAGTAAGAACGAAGCACCGCGTTATAATTGATTACATTTTGGGTCTCTTTCAGATTTCTTCTAAATTCGAGAGTTATAGTCCACCATTTCCTTTCAAACGTGTTTCTACACATTTAAAAGTGATTGCCCAACAGTTCTACGAAAAAACCAAGAGTTGAAAGTCTCCCTAACCTACTTGTCCAATCAAAAATTCAATTCGCGTCCAAATGCAAATGCGTCCACTCAAACCTATCCCGATCACTTCCTAGAGTTCCAGGGTTTCATGTGAAAACTACAAAGGGAAATAAACTTGGGAGAGGGAGGATTCAAGATTTTCATTTTCAGGTCATTTTCAAGTCATTTTCAGGTCAATTTAGGATAAGTTTTTTCAATTATCTCAAAAGAAAGTCATGATGAGATTTTTTCAAATCGGACTTTTGCATTTTCGAAGGAGTGGTACATTAAATCCATGTTCAATATAACTTTTACCTCCCGAAGAAAAATGAGATGTCATATGAAGATATTAAGAATCTTTGTACATAAATTGTGAGCGTATGTGTACAGTATAAATAAATGGATTTTTTATTTGTTGTCTCTCTCGAATAATAGACACCAACTTGGAAATAGAGTAATTGTTCAAGTCGTGGGTAGTTTGCCTCCTTCCTTGACTTTCTTTTTTTTAATTTTCATAATCGAAAGTTTTCAATGTTTTTTCTATCGTCTTTCTATTCTCATATATTTGTTCCACAAACCTTGATTCAACTTGGTTCCTTCGTAAAAGTTGAAGAGCTTATTACGAGTCATCCATTAAAATTAAAATCATGTCATTTAATCAAGAGTGGATAAAGATTTTCATGGTTAAAGTTTTGAGTTTTCTTATAATGTTATCTATTTGGGGCTCAAATAGAACTTGGTCGTAGTCTCAATGGCTATCTTCCTTTTGGTTCCTTCCCAACCATGGTTTATTTTTTCCTCTAAAGTTGTATAAATAAGAATCAAAGGAAAACATTCACCTATGAGCTCGAAAAACATTCACCTATGAGCTCAAATTCTCGATCAAACTCGAAAATTAACATTACCTCCACCAAATAATCAAGTCTTTGTTGAGAACGGGTTCATTTGGTTCATCTCTCATATTAGTACATTTTCCCATATTTATACATGAATTCATATATGGGCATTAATATTGCTATGCCTGTATAAAGTTTTGTGTAGACATTGTCATTTTGTACATGTCTAAACACAATGGAGAGAAACTTTGTAATAGAAAATTTGTATTGTGAGAGCGTGTGAGAAGTACACTTGTAAACACTTTGGCTACAGTGATTGGTTACCAATAGTGGATAGGGGAATTTCTTCTCTCCAAACCACGTAAATGTTTGTCTTTTTGTTCATTTCTATTCATGGGTGTATGAATGCAATCAATCTCGCTTCCACTTCCGCTACCTCAAGACTTAACCTCATCAACCACGAGATATGCTCACACTCACCATCAATTATCATTCAAATTATCATTCAAATCATCATTTTGGCATGTGACCCGAGGCTTATTAAACCAGCTATAAAAGTTGGTGGACACGTAAGATCGATTCAGCCACAGTAAGGCTCAGTATAAGGCTGTTCAAGTCATAAATTGTGCAATACAATACAATTGAATGATAATGGTGGAGAGTAAATTAACAATGGATGCTTTTAAAACTTCATTAACAAAGGATTGGATGACCAACTTGAGCTAAAACTTTGTAAAATCACATTATCTTCCTCTATTTCAATCACTGCCAAAATCTACAAACAACTTTGCATATGCATACCTACAACAAAACCTCACCACTTCTCTCATTCACCACCATATACAATTCCTTCAACTTCCCGTTTCGGTCAAGTCGAGCAGAGAACACTGAGTTAGTCGATCCCAAATCGTCTTATGCCTTTTGAAATGAGCGAGAAGACACACCGTGTAAAAGTCTCACAAATCCCAGGAAGCTAAGTTTCCCATCCGAGTGTCGAATCCAGTCTTGGAGAACCACATGAACCGGTACAGATGGACTAAGACCGAGTTCCTATGAGAGGACGACGTAACTCATATCACAAAACATGCCACTCTAATCACAAGAATAGCATAGAATACACAGAGAGCATACCGAAGCAAGTTCCTCTATCATTATCGGTCGGTTCCCGTCCTTATCAAATAGATCGTAGGCATGCCGAGCATGTTGCTCCCAGTTCTCCATTGCCTCGAGTTGATATATACTAATGGAAGCTGCACAAAATTCTTCAAAATCTAATTTTCTGTACTGAACCGAACTAACCTGCCAGAGCCATTCAAGAACATAATCAACACTTTCTACCATTCATTCTTTCTTCTCAAGGAAAGAGAACTTTTACCAGGTTGGCATAATCTACAACTCTGGAATCCTTTGTTGCCTCTGTTGAATTCTTGATCAAAGCCTGCAATTTTTAAACCCATTACAATATGTTCTTGGAAATCCTATTTTCGAGTACGATATCGGGAAAAGATTCAACCGTCTTGAAGTTTTGCATCGAAATGAACCCATTTTTGTTCGGTCCTAGCAGCGTAAATTGCTTCTGAAGGTAGCCTAGTTGAGCAGCATTTAATGTCTTTGCAAGAGCCTATGGAAAATTTATGTAACACCATCTTAAGAACAAGAAAAACGACGACGAAAAGTGTACGAACACGGTAAAATGGTAAAAAACAACCACTCGGAATCATAAACAATATGATAACACTTACGCCCAATGCTGATTTCCGCAGTGATGATGAGCAAATATAAGATATGACAAGCTTGTAAGTAATTGTATCCAATGGCACCTTGATATCTTGTTGATCAGCTAACCATGGATGGCCTACATACAATAAATTTGTCCTATGATTGAACGAAAAAACCTTGGAACAGCGCCAAGAAGTCGATGAGAAATCGAGAAGAGATTAACAGACATACACAGGGCCTGAGCTGCAGTCAATCTCTTGCGGTAGTCCTTGTTCAACAGACTCTTCACAAAATCAATGGCATCAGTAGATAAACTAGGCCATGGGGCTTCATCAAAGTTTGGATCTGCCTTTAGAACAGCTCGAAAAATACCCGATTCTGTTCTTGCCCAAAACGGTCGACTTCCACACAAAAGAATGTAAGCTATTACACCAATACTCCACATGTCTGCCTCAGTTCCATACGATCTATGTAAAACTTCGGGTGCGACGTAATACGCACTTCCTACAATGTCATTTAACCTCTCATC